GCCGTAGTGCGGTAGTGACACTTTTCCGGACATGGGTCCCTATACTCAAATGTTTTCTACTGTTGCACTGAATAACCCCTAGAAGTTTGATCCCATAGTTCTGAAACACCCTGTATATATATATATATATACACGCACAATTTCCGCTCAAACATCCTGCGAATGGCTCGTAAGGCCTTATATATTTCTTGTTATACACATAAAGTTTTGAATTGAAAAGAGGATGGTAAAAAGGGTCGATTTTTGCCTCTCGTGCGGGCAGTAAAATTCATGTTGATTACTGTTGTTGGGGTCCTACAGAATATGAAAAACCCATTTTTAAGTCTAGGAACCGATGGAAACTTGGTAAGACGTGTTTTGATAGAACTCTGCATATGCTTCAACTCTTCTCACGAGTGAGCCTATGTTGCTTAACGTCAATAGGGACTTGCCTCTAATCCAAAAGTATTTTTGTATCATATCTTGCAAAGATTGATTGAATCACATTTGCCAGATATCATGATACTACGATATATATGCGAATAATTGATATCTCAAGATTCCATCTTTATTGCCACGTCTTACCAAGTTCCCATCGGTTTCTAGACTTAAAAATAGGTTTTTCATATTCTGTAGGACCCCAACAACAATAATCAACATGAATTTTACTGCCTGCACGAGGGGCAAAAATCGACTCTTTTTATCCATCCTCCTCTCAATTCCTAAGTTTATATAGGATGTTAGATATGCATTACATATATGAAAAATGCTTGTTTTTCCCTTCTATATAATTTTAAAATATTGCAAGAAACATACCTCGGCCAGAAGTCGAACCTGGAGTCTCTCGCTTTCCGTGCAATCACCTTCGTAATTCAGCTACCTAAGCACATAGTGTTCCTCTCGCAATATTCGGATATCAAGCTATAAGAATAAGCATAACTAATAACGCATCTTTTGACCGGCAAGATTTAAACAAAGAAAAAAATAAAGCTCTTGAAATAAGGCTCGTATTGATCAATTTAATGTTAGTTTAAATTTTCAAGAGCCTTAGTTCTTCTTCGTTTTAATTTTATATCTTTAATTATTAAAAAAGGACACCTAAGTTGTCTACAGACAATTCCGAGTCTTGACTTTAACTTAGTATTGAACTTGCGATATCCGTGATCGACCGCTACAAAAACGACGTAATGCCGTGCTTGGTAAGACTCCAAACGCGCGGGAGTGTACACGCTGCACGGGCTTGTACGACAACAGGAAAAACCAGCTGCCTAGTATAGTATCATATTATTTTGAGTCTTTTGACTCACGAGACTAGATATTCTAGGTTCACTGCCATCTTTGACTAGAAAGGACAGCCTTAGAAGCATTCAGGCATAATCTCACGGATGGTAGCTTCGCATTACCGGCCGCTCGACCGAGTCCGTAAACCAAATGTCCGAACTTATGGTTCCTCTTGTATATATATATATACTGAAAAAAAAAATATATATATATACTGAGCAGGATTATTATCGTAATAACAAGTCATCAGTAGGATAAAACTAACCTGTTTCACGACGGTCTAAACCCAGCTCACGTTCCTTGTTGGCGGATAAACAATCCGACTTGGCGAATTCTGCTTTGCAATTATAATAAGAGTCAGAGACACGCACTCAAACGAGAACCCATAGTATCCCCCCTGCATACCCCCACCATCTCGGTGCTCTCGGCACGCACGATGCTAATCGGCCAGAGTTTGCAACTCTAGGAAGAGTCGACATCGAAGGATCAAAAAGCAATATCGCTATGAACACTTGGCCGCCACAAACCAGTTATCCCTGTGATAATTTCTGACATCTCTTAATGAAAACTCTTCAAGCCAAATGGATTGATAATGCTTTTGCGGTCTCTATGCGTACTGAACATCGAGATTAAGTCAGCTTTTGCTCTATGCAAGGTTTCTGTCCTCGCTGAGCTGGCCTTAAGACATCTGCGTTATTCTTTGACAGATGTATTACTCCAGTCAAATTCCCCACCTGGCAGTGTTCTCGAATCAAATCGCGCGAGAATATTGACGGCAAACGGCCAGAGCCGAACACCACTCTGACACGCTTGGCTCTAGAACATCGTGACCGCCGGAGCACGCGTTTTGCCTAACCGAGTAAGAAAAGTAGTGTTATTTCACCGTTGCCGCATCTCCCTTTACTTATACTACATCTTTCGTGTCTCTTTACAATTGGGTGCTTTCCAACTACGTACACAAGCGACAGTGTCCATGAGTGTGAGTGAGACACACTGATATGCTCTTTCTCACACTAATGGACACAGTGTTACACAGTGTCGCCTGTGTACATAGTTGGAAAGCACCCAATATCAGACTAGAATCAAATTCAACAGGATCTTCTTTCCTCGCTGAATTTTTCAAGCTCTTTTCCTTAGCAGTAGTTTTGCTAGAAGGTAGATAAGGATAGAGAGAATCTCGTTAATCCATTCATGCGCGTCACTAATTAGATAATGAGGTATTTGACCATAAGAAAGTCATAGTTCTTTTACACAAAAAACTATTATTTTTAGTAAGTGTTCTAGCCAATATTAGAATAAAATGACAAACTTAAAACTAAGAAAACTTTCTGATTTTTGAAGATTGACTCGTAGTCCTCCAGTTTATTGAACTTAGAATCCCAGTTTGCTGTTTAAAAAAGTCTCATATAACAATTTAAACAAATAAAGCTTATATAGTATCAAACTAAAGAGAACTATATTCGATCAATGTGAGTCAATGTGTTCAATGTTTATGCAAAACATTATTTTCTTTATTTAAACATGTAAAGTATTATATGTAATAATTCGAACTGAACTTTTAACTCAAATATTCATCTAGAATGCTTGCATCATATGTAGAGGAAATATCCAATTTGTTTTTCCATAGAAATTGAAAATCCTATTGTGAAAAAGACACTTCAACCATTTATTCATAGTTCAAAGTCGAACTCGGCTTTCTTGTATTCCGTACAGGCGCTTTCTCAATTCGGTTATCAAGGCACTAGGTGAACTTTTTGCATTACTTAAATATAACTTATAATTCCGGAAATGACGCTTTCTTTTTACCTGCGTTTAATAAATAATATAACAATTTAGAACTGTTACGTCCTGAGCCTATGCTCAGTTACGGTCGAGCGTTAATGGTGATACGCAACAGACGCACATTGACACATTTAAGCAAACGTGTATTCTATCCCGACACACTGACACAAAGGAAGAAGTCGAGATGCGTGGGTCGAACGAGACAGTTCGATAACGCAGGCCAACGGGATTTCCCGATTTTACTCTGTCTAACATATTCTCACTCGTCAGTCCTTTTTTAGGTCTAACAATAAGACGCGAGTCTCAATTACCAGTAACGGGACCTAGCAATCTGAGAGATCAAAGAAATGAACGGGGTGTTGTATTAGACGAGGTTCAAAGAATTAAGTTTATTAAAGGCGATTTTCTCTAGCAAAATGTAATTATAGTCTTTTATTGATAAAAATAATTTTTTATTAATTAATTAAAATTAATTTAGAGGACAATAACCGCATTCGCCTTTGTCTGACAATCTGATTGAGTTCCGCATTTAACAAAGTGTTAAAATCTGACACATTCTTGTTTAATAAAATCTTTACAATAGAAGAATCTGATTTTGTTTGCACATTTTTAACAGTATGATTAAAGAAACTCGGATTCCCTTACGAAAAAGAACTACTGGCAGTAATATATTGCGGCAGTGGTACGAAAAAATTACTGGCATTCTGTGTAATTGCCAGTAATATTCTTAGTGATCCCTGTAATCC